CCCGCGGGCCTTGAGTTTGACACATGTGATTTAGAGCAATGGTTTTCGAACTTTTTAGCTTCAGGCCCACAAAATAACAGTGTCAAACTTGTGACCCAAGATATTACTGGTTTTGCTTATAACTCTGTTAAGCATAAAAATATAAACAAACCTRACTATAATGCTACTTTTATTCATTTATGATTATTGTAATTACTAGTTTTGCAATAAATATGTAGAAAAAATTCCATTAGCAATTTATTTGCATTTAAATTAATGTCTGAAAATCATCTGGGGACCCTGACTTGATGTTTCACGACCCACAAAGGGGTCCCGACCTCAACTTTGGGAACCACTGCTTTACAGAATGAATGAATGAATGAATGAATTTTTATTTATGGAGGACAATGTGCAATTAAAACATAAACATAAAAACATTCGATGCATTGCACCAGATTTAGCCTAAGGCTAGTTTACATTTGCAGTCATACTGATAATAAAACAAAACAGCATCCAACAATAATAAAAAAAAATAACAGAAAAATAAAACCAATACAAAATAAAACATTTTGCAATTAACAATAAAAATACATAAACACAGACATGCTAATATAAGATGGCCTCAACATTTTCAAAATTAAGTGGTTATAATCAAGTCAGGTTTACAGATATTGAACTAAAATTTAACGTGGTGGTCGTTGAGAGTGGTTTCAAACCCATTCTCTGAGTCCTATCATGGTTTGAGGTTTCACAACATTGCATGAGATCAAGCATGACATCGTTTACAAAGACTAACACAACTCAAAAAAAAAAAAAGGAATACTAAAGTGATGTAAGGGAAGTTTGCAGCTGGAGTCAGCTAAAAATGATTTTTACCCCCCAAAATATTTTCTGTTAATTCAGTCTCAAAATGCAGAACCTGGTGGAAAAATACGAACCATTTCTCTTAACAAAATGCTTTTTTTCCCTTTTTTTTCAGTTGCTGCTGGAGGTGAATAATGTTCCTGACCTCTCTGCTGGAATCACCTGTTCGTTTGGCCAGCAGGCCCAAGCTGAGGGTCACGTCAACGGTAACCGGGTCATGTGTCTGTCCCCGGCTGGGAAAGAGGTGCCAAAGATACCAGAGGGACAAGGTGAGTGCAGACATCTGCTCTGAAAACCAATAACATCAAATATCCCAGTCAAAAAGAAAAAATAAGTAGGTCCTCTGGATGGGTTCTTTTTTAGTGAAATGTTTCGTCTCTCCTCCAAGAGACTTCTTCAGTCTGATGAGTTTCAGGTGAACTCAGCCTTATAAGCACTGCCTCCACATGGACAAACAGGTTAGTCACATGCAAAAGAGGGCCATCGCCTAACAATAGGCTTGATTAGCTCTATTTAGTCACATGCAAAAGAGGGATTCATTAGAGCTAATCAAGCCTATTGTTAGGCGATGGCCCTCTTTTGCATGTGACTAACCTGTTTGTCCATGTGGAGGCAGWGCTTATAAGGCTGAGTTCACCTGAAACTCATCAGACTGAAGAAGTCTCTTGGAGGAGAGACGAAACGTTTCACTAAAGAACCCATCCAGAGGACCTACTTATTTTTTCTTTTTGATTTTTTTCTACCAGGATTACTGAGATGCATCAGGACAAATATCCAGGTGTTTTCACCTATTTTTTTTCCAATTTCTAACGTTTCTCCTTTTTTATTCAGCGCCTACAAATAATTTGTGTATCCAAGAACTTTACGAGTACAAGGAGCTGTAGAATGYGGTAATCCGTCATTTGAAGTTTCCTACTGAAGGTTTTCTCACAACAGCAGCAACCGTGTCCTTTCATGAACCCAGACACAGGAGGCTCTTTACAGGAAAATGATAAAAGCACKTTTTTTTTCTCATTCTGGGTTATTTTTTTCTCCCCCTCTCATTGCCGTGGCTCTTCTACACACCCCTTTGTTTCTTCTCCTGTGATTCTTTTTTTTCCTCCCTCGCTCATTAACCCTGCTTCTTACTTCTTCATCCTCCTCACCGTTAACCGGTGCTCCCTGTTGTTGCTCCTCTCCTTCAGACTGGGCTGGCGTAGAGCTCCGTCTGAATTCAAACGAGACCGGTCAAATGGTTGCCAGCACCGAGGTGAAGTTCTACAACTGCAGCACGCATCAAATGTGAGTGCAAGCACACCCCCACMCCCCAACCTTTGATTTGTTCAATAGATGGAGGAGCACAACTTAATTTAGGGCAATGATGTACTGATGCTCACAGCCCCACTTAAGATCTCGCTGCTAGATAACCTCTGAATTCAATTTATCTGCCAGGTTTCATTTAAGTCAACATGATGCATTTGTCATGGCCTGTTTGTTTCGACTTGGCTTTAAGTGGCAGTTTGTGGGCTTCCTACTCACAGTTTTAAATACAGCTAGAAAGAGTACATACTCATCCATTTCTGAATATTCATCTGAAAAATTAGGCACTGAGGTAATCAGAGTGTGTGCTCAAGAGGCGTCAAAGCAAAGGGAATTAAAAGAGAAGGAACTCARAATGAGATGAGTTTTATCTGCGACATTTATTTATTTACTTCTGGACCTGACCTTCCAACATGACATTAAGACTGTGTGCACACAGGAAGTGATGTCATCACAGAACAGTCATGTAAAAGTTGGTGGGATTGCAGAATCACAGGTCCATGTGAGTATGCAAAGCACCAATACTTCAGAACTCATTAGAACAGATTTTAAATTAAAAAAAAAATTGTGGGGGTGGGGGTTCATTGGTGAGCCCGATGTATAGCCCTTTATCAGAGCAAAACAACAAAAACAAATCTGAAGCTCCTGTGCTGAATAGTTTTTAAAGGGCCAATATTATGTGTTTCTCAGGCATACATTTAAAT